ATATATATACCATTGTATATATTCCATTGTGTGTATATATATATATCTATATATACACACACACACACACCACATCTTTATCCATTCCCTATCTACCTATGGATATTTGGGCTGCTTCCATGGTTTGACTATTATAAATAAGGCTGCAATAAATATAGGGGTGCATGTATCCCTTTGAATTAGTGTTTTGTATTTTTTGGGTTATACACAGTGATGTGATTACTGGATCATAGGGTAGTTCTATTTTTATTTTTTGAGGAAACTCCATACTGTTTTTGCATTCCCACCAGTAGTGCATGAGTGTTCCTTTTTCTCCACATTCTCGCCAACACCTGTTGTTTCTTGTGTTTTTGATTTTAGCTATTCTGACAGGTGTGGGGTGATATCTCATTGTAGTTTTGATTTGCATTTCCCTGTGATGAGTGATGTTGAGCATCTTTCCATGTGTCTGTTGGCCATCTGGATGTGTTTTTTGAAGAAATGTCTGTTCATGTCTTCTGCCCATTTTAATTGGATTATTTGTTATTTTGTGTTAACTTATATAAGTTCGTTATATATTTTGAACACTCAACCCTTATGGGATATGTCCTTTGCAAATATCCTCTCCTATTCAGTAGGTTGACTTTTAGTTTATTTTTTTATTGTTTCCTTCACTGTGAAGATGCTTTTCATTTTGATGAAGTCCCAAAGTTCATTTTTGCTTTTATTTCTCTTGTCTCAGAAGATAGATCTAGGGGAAAAAGTTGCTAATGCCAATGTCAGAGAGATTACTGCCTGTGCTCTCTTCAAGGATTTTTATGGTTGCAGGTCTCACATTTAGGTCTTTAATCCATTTTGAGTTTGTTTTTGTGTATGGTGAAACAAAATTGTCCAGTTTCATTCTTTTGCATGTTGCTGCCCAGTTTTCCCAGCACCGTTTGTTGAAGAGACTGTCATTTCCTATTGTATATTCATTCATGACTCCTTTGTCAAAATTTAATTGACCATATGATTGTGGGTTTATTTCTGGGTTTTCTGTTCTATTCCATTGATCTGTGTGTCTATTTTTATACCAGTACCATACCATTTTTGTGATGCCTCCAAATGTTTTGTTTTTTTCAAGATTGCTTTGGCCATTCGGGGTATTTCGGGTTCCATATAAATTTTAGGATTGTTTGTTCTAGTTCTGTGAAAAGTGTTGTTGGTATTTTGATAGAGACTGCATTGAATGTATAGATTGCTTTGGGTAGTACACACATTTTAACAGTATTTGTTCTTCCAACCCATGAGCATGGAATGTCTTTCTGTTTCTTTGCATCATCTTGAATTTCTTTCATCAGTGTTTTATAGTTTTCAGAGGACAGGTCTTTCCCCTCTCTGGTTAAGCTTATTTTCCTACGTATTTTATGGGTCTTGGTGTTATTGTAAAGAGGATTGTTTTCTTAATTTCTCTTTCTGCTGGTTCATTACTGGTGCATAGGAATACAACAGATTTCGGTTACTGATTTTGCATCCTGTGACTTTCCTGAATTCAGATGCCAGTTCTAGTAGTTATTTGTGAAGTATCTAGGGTTTTTGATATATAGTATCATGTCATCTGCAAATAGTGAGAGTTTTACTTCTTCCTTATTTAGATTCCTTTTATTTCTTTATTGTGTCTAATTGCCGTGACTAGAACTACCAGTACTATGTTGAATAAAAGTGGTGAGAGTGGATATCCTTGTCTTCTTCCTGACCTTAAGGGAATAGCTCTCAGTTTTTCAACATTGAATATAATGCTCCCGGTGGGTTTTTCATATATGGCCTTTATTATGTTGAGGTATGTTCTCTCTAGACCTACTTTGCAGAGGGTTTTTATCATGAATGGATTTTGTACTTTATCAAAGGCTAGCCTTTCAATATTTTATACAAATGTATGACTGATCCATCTGTATTCATAATCGTATGAGTCTGATAATTTTCCTATGATATATTCCTAAAAGTGGATTTTCCATGTCAAAATTTTGTGCCTGTTTTAAAAGCATACTTAACTATATCCTGATAAAACTATATATCATCATTTTTGGTATTTATTAATTTTGAAAAAATTATACCTAATTGTTTTAATTCGTATTTAACTTGATTCAAATGCATCTGATTATTTTTTCATATATTTATTGGCAGATTTCTTTGAAAAGACATTCCTTTATAGAGTTTTTTTCATGACAGACAATTTTAGAAAATAAAGATATAATGATCACTAATGACATTACCAGAGGTAATCAATTTTAACATTTTATTTTTTTCCTTTCAAAATATTTTCTACACATTTTCATATGTAAATAATTACCAATTATGTATATAGTTACAAAAATGGGATCATATTATATATATATATATATATATACTTATATATAAAGTGATTTCCATTTGTCAACCCAGTATTTTCTTTATACACACACTCAATGTTGTTATGTAATCTGCCTGTTTTAACTTAAAATATAAAATGTGGATTTTTCTAGATGATTAACTTTGTATAATATCATTAAATAATGTATCGTACTCCATTTTAATCATGTACATTATTTATTTATCCAATGCACTATTAATTGAGCAGCATTCCAAAGTTTTGCTATTCTTAATACTTTGATGTAATCCTGATAAATGGTTCATGTCTGGTCATGATTATTTCCTCAGGATAAAATTTCAGAATTACAATTGTGGAGTCAAAATGTGTACAAATATGTGTGGATTTTCATGTATGAATTGCACAATTGTTTCCCAAATAGTTTGTTATGGAATTTCACTCCTAACAGCAACATATAAAGGAGGCTGTTTCCCTGTACTCTCACCAGCCAAGAAAATGGGCAGTTTTTAAAAAGTCAACTTCTGTTATTTTCTTCCGGTTTCTAATCATTACTAATTAAAAAAAAAAAAGAAACTCATGTGTTTCTGAAATCATCAATTTTAATGATTCCATTATCAGCCACCAAGTGTGTCACGTGGCATCTATCTCACATTCTGAGAAAGAGCCCGATTTGCCAGACTGAGTTTCATCTACAAAGTGATAAAGCCACAGTGGGAGAACCAGAAATTCAGAAGCACGGTGTCCCAGAGATATTCCTCGATGAGTTGATATAAGAGTTGAAACTCCCCCGATGGCTTTCTCCACTACACTTTTGTTAGCATTTCCCATTTTCAACTACACTCTAGCGGATTCACTCTGTTCATACATCAAGTATTTGTTAAAATGTGTCCTGCACAAAAATGTTGCTGTTCTTAGGCATACAGTTCACTAGGTTAAAAGCAAGAGAAATAAAATAAAATTGTATATCTAGCAGCTAGTTAAATTAAATTTATGACAGTGACTCTGAAAACAAAGTTCTGAAAAAAGAAAAAATTACAAAACATGGGT